TGAAATAATTTCTACTTTCAGATAAAAAGAAAAGTCATAGGCTTTATTATTTGTCATGGTTTATCACTTTAATTTTCTACATTACTTTTACATATGCTGGAGTACTGCCTACTGTACATGCCATTGTCACATGTAACACATTTCTTTATCTAACTTCAATTTTGCTGATTTCTTTTTCTGTTTCCATCATTCCGTGCATTTAATTCATTGAAGAGCAAGAGAATTTTAACTCTCCCACAAAAGGTAAATATTTATGTAATTTTTTACAAATGTTTGGCAACTGTTGATACTGGATTTTCCTTCATTATGCTCCATGTCAGTATATAGGTTGTAGTTAACAATGTTAAGATGCAAAAACATTGTTTTTCAAATATCTCTATGCTATCCAATGGCCCTCTTTAGAATCTGAAAATGGTTTCACTTGTGTTTCTCATGCTCCTATTGAAATACAATAGACTGGATTTAACAGAGGTAATGATGATATTTTACATGGCTTAGAAGGCTCTTGATTCAGTTAAAGTTCACACAAAGACTTACAATTTTTCCTAAACTGTTCTGGAGTTCTGCACAGTACATACTGGTCCTTGGCAGCTGTGAAGAAAGTTTCCTAGGTGTGGGCTTAGGAATAGTTAAAAGTGATGATGGTCAGAAACTACTTTTTGTATGTAGAGGGATTCTGAAGAATGAGCTGTATTCTGCTTGCATGTCAGTCCCACATCAGAAAGTTACTCCTGCTGTAGGGCAGGATTTAGGGGCAGACATACAATGTTCACTTCATATGGATTTATGCCTTACTGGTACCAGAGAATCAGTGAGCTCAAACAACAGGTATCTAAGGCTGTCCCACTAAGTGAAAACTGTATTCTGTTATGTCTCTGTCAAAGCCACATTGCAGAAAAGTCCTATTTTTTTTCCTTTTATCTGAAAGTAGAAATTATTTCAAAATCAAAATGAAGCTTGTAGAGAAAAAAAAAAAAAACAAAAAACACCCCACCCTTTTAATGTTAAAATCAAAATAGTATGCTGCATAAAAATTACTAGCACTTATTATGATTAATCTTTTCTAACCTTTGTTCCTGAGTCCTGCTCATCTTGGCAAATTCTGGTCTGAATACAGGCTTGGGTGGGTTACAACTAAACTGAGTTGAACTTGAATCAAAGTATTTCCTGCAACTACTTTACTTCATGAAGGGATGAATGCTTTGGTAAAAATAAAGCAACTTCTCTACTGGGTATGAACTCCAACAGCCATATCAAACATACACAAGTATGTTTTCATGATAATGTTAAAATGAGATGAAAAAGAAATATGTAACTTAGGTGTTAGCAATTATATATTATTTTTGCAGTGTTTAGAATATACTATGAAATGTCTTAAGAAAGTGCTAAGAGTGGTTGATTTTACAAATTATTTCTGTCTCAGTATTTATATTTCTCTCAAACAGGACAGTACAAATCAATCTTACCTGTTTGTTGATTATGCCTCTGTCAAGATTTGGGCTGCAGTGGATGGTTTTTTTTTGTTTAAAACAATGGACTTTATGCAGACAAACTAGACTGTCTCTAACAGGTTTGTAAAAGAGCTTCTTTCCACAAGATTTGGATGGATCTGGCCTAATATTTGGGTGTGTGTAGAAGGTGGTGGGATATTTAGATGTACAGATTCCTCTGGCTCAAGGGAGCTGGTGGCAGATGAAACCCAGGGGTTAAAAAGAGCTGGACAAAAGAAGAACAGCAGGAAGAGTGAAGTGCCAGCAAATCTGGGGGATCATAAATATCTTTATTTGAGCTGATTTACACTAGTAGCTCACTGTAACTTCTTACAAGAGGTAAATAGACAGTCGGTGATTTAGAGATGGGGGTGGGGGAGTTGCAGGACGTTTTGTGAAAGGAGACATAAATATGAGGGAGAACATGTCCTACAGGAGTGAACAACACTGACCATATGAATCTGCAACAAAGCAAACATCTGTTTCATGTAATCAATGGAAAAGTTTGTAATCAATGAAGTCTTCAGCAGATTATGAAAATGCTGACTTGATTTGCTGCCAAAATCAGTGGCTTGTTGTTTTGGGTTTGGTTTGGTTTTTTTTCAAATTTTAAGAGGTCTGTGTTTGTTTTCTTGTTGTTTCCTTTTACATAGAAGCTTCTCTGTGGATCACCCCTGAAGCTCTTTGAGAAAGAACTGAATGTTGCATCATCCAGTTCAGGTTTCTGTAATTGGCATATCTTCCTTCTGGAGTGAGTTGTTAAGCTCAAGATGGCCACTGTGCCTCTGTGTGTACTGAGACATCCAAGCTCATCCCCCAGCTTGGAAATCTGACTGTGTGCCTTGGTCATGCCTTAATTATGATTGGGAGGAGGTCCAGAGAACTATCAGCTCCCATGGAAAGGAAATCCATGCACACAAGCTTGATGTAGATCCAGCAGGTTCTGGTCAGGCAGAGCGGGGTTCAGAGCCATCTTCCTCACTATCTGCATGTTGCCATTATTTTTTGAAGTTGTTTATTCAAAGAAGTCGTAGCAAGTTCTTCATCTTGACAACAAATTGATTTTTTCAGTGTTACTTACCTTATATTTCAAAACATTTGTCTGCTCATCATTTTGTGCTTTTTAAACTTCATAGTAGAGTTTGCTGTGAATTTTTAAAGCCAAGAAACCTACTGAAAGGATATTTTCTGTGTGCATACTGCAAAACTTGTCCTGAAGGATCAACAGAAATGAACTAGAGGCTCTCTATTAATTCTGAAATGGATCATCCTTGTCCAACACTGGTGACTTTTCTTTTCTGTGCCACACAGCCATCTCTGCACTAGATGATTCTCTCATCCAAATCTCGTTGCTGCTTTATTTCCCTTCCTTTGTTATGAACATAAGTTCTGCCTAGTTTCTTCCTCAGCTGCCACTTCTCAAACCAGATTTTATTTTAATTACTTTTTCTCATCTAATTCCTCAAACTAGATAGGTTCTTTTCCCCCTGATTCCTGTCTACAGAGCATCTAAGTTGCTCAGATCTCCTAGCTTTTGCTGTGTAGAAAGGCTGTGTACATGCTTCTAGACTGCACTACAGCTGTAGCTGTTTGTTACTGTTCAAATTTTCTTCTTAATATGGAGACTGAAATTGAAGAGTAGGTCAGACATCTCTTGTCTTCTGGAATAAGTGCCATTCTTTGTTCCCCTGCCTGAACCTGTTGTGTTTGCCCCAAAAGCACTGTTATTATAAGTTAATGAGGTAAATTCAACTTTCTTTTCAGTACTTCATTATCTAAGAAGTGTTTGTGTCATTTTAGACTTACAGGCTTTTCTCTTAAAGTTCGCATCATAAAGAATGGATGTGTGACATATTCTGGAAATAGTTACAACTATCTGAAATCTTGATGCCAATTTCTTCCTGTTATGTAGCTTACTCTGACATTTAATAGTGCAGGTAAGATTTAGAGGTTTTCATACTCTTTGCCTGCACCTCCTCTTTCTGTCTTGACCATCTTGAACAGAAATATGAAGTGCCTCAAGAGAAAATTCTGAGTTTGTTGCAGACTTCATCATTACAGAAAATGGTATGCCCAGTGCATAAGTTTTCTACCTTCTAGAAAAGCACAGTATGGTTATCATTTTGAATGCAATGTCACCAGTCATTCTGGCATTAAGCCCATATTTGGCTTTGAGCAAGAATGTCCTTTAGAAAAGTATTTTCACTTGATGACCGCAAGGGATGGAAATTTGTTCCTAGGATTAATCACCTGACTTTTTAAACATATATCTTATTATTTATCTATAGACTGTCTTTGATGAATGTTCCAATATGAAAGAAGTAGATATGTAAAGAGTTAGAGTTCAGGAATAAAAAACTAGAACTAGAAAAGTAGCTACAGCATTTTTGCTGTTCCTTGCTAGTTCAATATTGCTGCTATTGTGATACAATCTTTATTTAAATGATCCCACCTATTAGATGGGTGTTTAAGGCATCACATAATTTGAGAATTTTGCATGTAGTATAGAGTTTAGACCCCTTTTTAAACCTTAATGGGAGAACTTTGGACCTCAAAATTACTTCTGTTTCTTTTGCACTGGCCACTGCTGTTAGTACTGCTTTTGTAGCTCTCAGTGATTTTCATAGGGTTGGTCTGCTGTTGATGCTAATGCAAGTTTAATTTCTTTTAAAGTCATATTTCTTGAATTGTTAGATTCATATTCTGTAGATAACAGAAATATGCCATATGACACATTCTGTCTAGAAAAGTTTTATTAAAGAAAAAAGGAAAACTATCTGCCCTACTACATCTGATACATTAGTATAGTACATTGATTATTCTTGGGTTATTTTGTACATAATTGAAAAGGTAGACTATATTCTGAACATTTAGAAGTTAGAAATTCTAACTTCTCCCTCATTTAAACAGCATTTAGGGGTTGAAACATGCCCATAGTAGTTTTCTGAGGATAGTAATAAAGATGAGAGCTGTCAACTAATTAGTGGCATCAGATGTAACTCTATAACTCTTAACATAATAGTCATATATTAAAAGGAATATGACTAGCACATAAAATCTTAGTAAACAGGTAAAGTCATCAAAAATTTAGTGTCTGTATCCTTCAAGAAAAAAACAACTCTTAGTCTCTCCTAATTTTCTTTGAGGGTAGATTGAAGGCTGAAAATAGGATCTGTAGCTACTTTCTTTAGTTTATTCCTTACCTCTTTCATGCAGTGTCTTACAGAATTGTGTATTTTAGGCTAGCCACAGTTTTATTGCTGACTGTGATGCTACATGGTATGGAATGATCCCTCTGGTCAGTTGGGGTCACCTGTCCCACCTTTTTCTTCTCACAGCCTGCTTGGGAGCAGGGGGAAGGCAGGACAGGGCAAGGGGCTGCGGCATGAGGAATAGAGAAGGCCTTGGTGCTATGCAAGCACTGCTCAGCAATTGCTAAAGCACTGGTGTGTTATCAGCACTCAGTCACAACTAGAGGAACAGGCAGCTGTGAAGAAAACTGCTTCCATCCCAGCCAGACCCAGTACCCCTGGGATTACAGGAGTCAGACGGGTTTATAAATAGATTAATGGAATTGAAATATAACATTTTGATTCCATTCATATGTCTGTCTTTTCTCTCCTGCATGGCTTGATTGTTCATGTACATCATTGTTGTTAATCTTCACGTGGTTTATTAGTAGTAAGCTTTGGCTATTAAGCAACACTTTATTTTAGCAGTTTGATCAATGAGTTCTCTCAATTACTTTTACACTGATTGATCTCACATCTGAATCACCAGCCCTTGAAGAGATGAGAGTTACAGCTCTTTGAAGTGTGACTTTTGTCACCAAAGAATAACTCATTGACACAACCAATATTGATTGTAGTTGTACCACTATTTTGAAACACTTACGGTAAATCTTCATTTTTTAATTCTAGAGCCACTCAAGAGTTTAAAGGTCTTGGGATTACAGTGCTTAGATTTGTAAATTACTGTGTAGTTCTACCTCTCAAGACCTCCAGGAAAAGCATTCTATAAATAGTAATGTCCTAAAAGAAAGTATAGCCATATTTTTAGAGGCAGGCTGAGTACTTTTTATGTCAAGTTTTTGTTACCTGTGGTAACCAGCCGTGTTCCACAAAAGCAATGTGATCATATGGTGTTGTTACCTATGGTTGTTACAGTTTTGCTAACGTGCTTTTGCTCCCGTGTTAGACTTTTTTCTTACTTCTCATGATTAGCATGTAAAGTTTTTACCAAACCACTGGTCAGGCAGATAAAATTTTCCATCACAGAACTGAGCTATGTTCAATATATGCTCAGATGTGCGTGGTAAACAAGCTGGAAAGAACATAGTTGGATTTTCTAGACTAGTTTAATGCAACTACATGCTTATAAATAAATTCACAACAAAATGGTGCTAAGTTACACTGTACTTCATGCACTAAATCAAATTTCTCCATTAGAGAATTTAGATTTACTTCACAGACCTTATTAATTGTTCCCATGTTGATACAGTCATATATATATATATATATAAAGGAAAACCAGAACATAAACACATTAAGCTTAAGGATTTAAAGATAACAAAAATCAAGAATTACAGAATTAAGGTTGAATATTTACTCAATCTTGACTGAAGTAATAACTTCTGAAATAGCACTTCATTACATATTAGAATACTCTTTCCCAGGTATCATAGGTAATACAGGGTAACATATCATATATATTATTTAGTATAGCATACAGTTGACAAGCTAAAGGACCTAAAATTCACACAATGAAAGGATAATGTTTAGAGTAACTCTAATCTGTGCACCATATACCTGTAGGGCTAAATTTTTAAAGGGGTCTCATTTTACCCTCTGATTTCATATCCTCAGTCTATTTCATGCATGTATGATAGGATTAAGATACCCATTTTATTACTTCAGTCCCTAACTGATCTATCTTAATCCTTTCATATCTGTCCTTAAAATAAGAGGCCATCTTTAAAAATTTCACCTAAAGTGCTCAATTTTGCCTTCAGATACCTCCATGCAACTTCCATTGAAGTAATTGGAGCTGTGCCTGCATATCTGATGGTGGAACTGGACTCATTGCAATTAAGGTACACATTTCCTGACATAATTAGTCATCTGGAATAATTGCTGGGCCCAGTGTGACATTCTGCATGTGCAGAATTTGCTAGATTGGACTCTGCATATGGGAGATTGAAGATAATGATAACTTTATTTCATGCCTTAAATTTGTAGTTGTAGCGGAATTTTAATGTAGTTTGTTTTACTTAATTTTCTTATTTTTAAATAAGAAATGTGGAAGGAATTCACAGTGATGCCTTTGTATATATTTTCCTACCCAACCAGCACACAGACATTCTATCATTTCCATGAGCAAGTTACAAATGGTATGTGCAGGCACAATTGTGATTTGTTCAGTTGCTTATAGTTTAAAATATCCAATCCTGAGTGTACTGCTTTTTTGGTTGTTTTTTTTTTTTTTGACCATGTATCTTTGTGCTGGCAAAGCACAGACAAAAAAATGGATCTGTAAATAATGCCACAGTGAACTAACAGCATAAAAGCCACACATGAGAACTTTAGTACCTCTTAATTGAAAATACATAGGGTACTTATGCAGCTTTAATATAATATAGGTGTCTCTCTCCTGTCACTGATCTGGGGAGGGGATCTTCGACTTATAAAAGTTTTATAGAGAGTAATATAAGTGCATGGTTGGCACAAAAGCAGAAGATTTTGTGGAGGTCAAATAAAATTAAATTTGTGACACATAAAAAATTCCAACTTAAAAGTTTATCTGAGATGTTGTAACCTGTAAACCTGTTAACCTGTTAAACCACAATCAATGTAGTGAATACTCCTGTGATTTAGAAGTTACTGATAAATATTTGGGTCTAGTTCTAGAACTGTTAAAAAGTTCCAGTTTTCATGGTGTTGATGTTACCTGTATTGCTTTAAATTTAAAATGCTACAAAGTTAAATAATAGCAGAATATATAGATCCCTCTGAAATTTTTTCACTACCACAAAGGTTAAGTTCCTTGGAGGAAGCCTTGTTCCAGGGGCTTTTACACCTCTCTGTTAGAGCAAGGGTGTCTGCCTGTGGCAGGCACAGCCAGTATTAGTTGTTCAACCTGTTCAAGTTGAAGAGGATTCCCATTATGGCACCACAACTCCTTGAAGGTGCAAGCTTTCTGTTTTTAAAGAAACACTGCCAAATGGAAGTTGAAAACACAAGAAAAAATAATTATTTGAAGTAAAGGTGATCATTACAGGGCAAAGTAGTGATTTTAAAGGAAATCTGGTTAAAAAAACCCAAACTACTAGAAAAAGACTGTGGTTTTGATGTGACTGGTTGAATGGAGAAATTATTCCTCTCAAATAGTCTTAGCTATGTTAAATTGCTATTTTTCAAGATAGTAGGAGGAGTCAATTACTTAAAAATACATTTCAATATCTGTTTCATGCATTAATTCTTAGAATGCTACTGTAATATTTTCTACATTTAAACAAACACATGCTTAGATGATCATGGATTTACATCCCCTGCATCCAGAATATTTAACAGGTGTATAATTCAGCCTGCCACAATTTTTTCACTCTTTTCATGTGTGTTGCACCAGCTTTATTATGTGTAGAAATTGGGACGTCTGCCCATTTTCAGGTAAAGACTCTCACAGTGAAAGCGATTGATTTCTGGACATTAGTGTTCCTTTGTTCTGTGTTTACACCCTGCTTGTTCTACATGTTTGTACATTTCTTTGTTTTGTTGAAATGGAAATAAGCTAGAGTTGTTGCTAAACCATTTGTTTTTTCAAAGAAATTTCCTCTATTTTTAATTGATTTTCATTGTGTGTTTTTGCAGCAAGCTTAGTAGTGGAGGAGCGAACGAGACAGATGAAAATGAAAATGCACCGTTATAATCAGACATCAGGGTCTGGTTCTAGCCAAGAACATGAGCGTGAGCAATATACCAAGGTAAAGTCAGTAGTCTTGGAATGATATTTTGGCTTGAAAACTGAAGGCATAAACTTGTTTATTTAAAATATTACATAACCTTCAAGAACACTGTATTTTACAGCCTGATAGAAATGTCTTCAAGTAATAGCTTTTTACCACCATTTTTGCCCCCGTCTGTTGTGCATTAGACTAAGTCTTTGACATCAACTAAAATATATCTGTAAAAGCCAAAATACTTAAAAACTAATTCAGAAAAGAAAGATCCTTCCACAGCTGTTAAAAAGAGACTAATCCCATCTAGTTTAGGAAGCCCTCAGACTTCCAGTCCCTGGAGTTTAGAAAAGGAGGCCATGAAAGTGTTGGTGGGGCCTTGTTGCTGTCTGATGTGTAGAGAGAGCTAGGTCCAATCCCAGATTGCAGATGTTCTCATATTTGTATAATTTTTTTGCATCCTAATAATGTCAGAGATAAACTATTTCTTTTCTTGAAGTACCTACTGATTACTTCTATTTCCTTTTCTAATAAAAGCATAAGAAGTTTCTGTGATAATGGAATATACTGAAATAACATTAACGAAGTTGTATAGAGGGATTTTGTTTTCTTGATAAGGCTAAAATGATAGCCCATAACTTTGTAATTTAAACTGTATAGAGTTCTAAACAAACTGATGAAAATGTCTTGCACATCTGCACTGCTGGTTACAATTCAAGCTGTGAGGAGCTGGATGCTCCTGGAGATACAAGTTAAAATAATGCATAAGTGAGGTACTCATCTAAAAAAAAATCAGAAATTTACTTAAGAATGGTTAAATAGGAAATTTGCCAGCTAATTTTTAATATGTAGCAGATTTGAAAGATTGGTTCAAGATCTTGTTGCAGTTAAATACGCAGACAACTTTAATAACAACTTAAATGAACAGTTCAAAAGGAAGACAAGAAACAAAGCTTTAGGTCCTCAGTGGTCAATCTGTGGGATATCAGTGCTGTTAAAAAAACTCAACAGCTGGGGTGGAAATTTCCAATGAGATCTTCTATCAGGAGCAAGAATTTGTTTAATTAGAACATCTAATATGCTATGGAGTTTTCTATTACTTTCAAAAGAGGTCGACTCAGGGCAGGAGGGTGAGATGCAGTGTTGTACTTCCCAACCGCTTAACGTGTCAGAAAAAATAGTTAAAATAGGGTTGACAAAATTCTCATGAGAGAAAGATAATATGCAATCTGAGGACTTCTGCCATGATGACCAGAGACCTTTGTTCAGATTCAGAGATTTCTGATTTAGATTATAAGTGCTTACAGATTGATTTAAACTTGTGTATTTGACATTCTGAAATGTATTCTTTAATTCTAACTCTCTAATATTTATTATAAGCATCATTTTGGCCCTTCAGTATGTTTTTCTTATTTGATCAGCATAGATCCAATGTATGGTTAAATAGTTGTTAGAAAATATCAACCTGCAGTATTACAAATTTCTCTTATCCGTAGAACCTTGAGTTTTCCAGGATCTCCTTTTGGTTTTAAATGCATGTAGAAATCAAAATTTAAATCATGATGAGTACTAAATCAAAAGAACACTGAAATTATACTATTCAGAATTTTTTTTTCTAAAACTATGAGGAAAATTTTGAAGAAGCAAATTCTCTGTTGGTTGTTAAAGAGAAATATTTTTGGAGTGCCTTGTCTTCTGTATTTGTTTCCCATGCTGAAATGGTAGTAAGAAGAATTGCCCTGGGCTTTAAATGTTTAACTTCTCATGTATTTTCTACATTATAATGTTGGAGTCCTAGATAAGATGGTCCAACATAGAATTAATTTTTAAGTGCTGAGAAAGAATTCTATTAGCCCATTCTAACACGGCAGGATATTCAGTGATGGTGATAGTCATCACTTTAAAAATGTTACCAAACCAAACCTTATGCTACTGTCTTTATCCTGAGAAAATGGTGAAAGAGCCAAGAGAATAATGAAGACAGATGAAAATTTGGACACCTCTAATGAAAATGTAGCTGTTGTGGTAAAGCTGATGACTGAGATTTCTCAGAACCAAAAACTGTACCCAGTTTCTGCTGCCAAAATTTGTGAAAAGTCTTTGAAAGCTGCAGAAACAAGACTTACTTTAAATAAAAAAAAAAAAAAATTAAATGGTATAATAGGCATTCTGGAATAGTGAAAAATAAATATTAACTGACTGTTAAAGAAATAGCAATTGCAAGTAGAGTTTTTAATCAGCTCACATGGATTTGATTCTTCCAATATTTTTGCATTTTCAAATATGCCTGTTTTATTACATATGAAATTCTCTAAACCATTCAAAAATTTTCTTCAGTATGAGATCATATTTACAATGGTTAATTATGCATATACAAAATAATTCTTGAAAGTTAAATAAGTTTTCTCTTTTATTGAAACAAGCCTTTTTTGTGACTGGTCCTTTGCAATTTCCAGTCAATTTCTGATGCATTACAGTTTTGTAATTTTTCCCACTCAGTTTCTCAATTTTCTAGTTTCAGTAAGCAAGCAATAGTTTTCCAAGCATGCACCATGCAGGTTTTGATTTTGAACATCCATTAATGGATTTTGAATAGGTAACTGTCTGCCATGCAACGTTTGTGTATTCTTCACAGAGCTCACATCCTTATTTCAAAAACACCAGACCTCTGAGAAATTGTCAAAAGTATTTAAAGAAGAACTTTAAACATGCCTGCCTTCTTTCTTATATATTGGTTAGGCTGTAGTGGCTAGTGTGCACGTATTTGTGCTGTTTCAGTACTTGAGAGAATCAAAACATTTGGTGGCATAATTTCAGATGTTTGCAGAGGTGATTTACAGTGTAACACAATTAGCCTTTTAATTCAAAATACATTTAAGATTTTTTTTATTCCAGATGCCACACATAGAACACAAACACCATGCTGCAGCTGCTCCTCCTTCCCATTTTTGGAAGTTCTGTTTATTCAAGAGAGTTACTGATTAGAGCACTGTAGTATGTACTTAAAAAGGATATCACTCTATATTTAGATGCACTACGGACTTAAGACTGTATGTGATTGAAAAGCATTTAGCATAAAAGTGTAATCATGGCATTTGTTCAGTGGCACTGTGGATTTAACTCAATAGTTACTGT